AATTAAATGCTAAAATTGCATAAATCAAGAAATTCATTTCTGATGTGATATTAATGTAAAAATATAAAAATAATGTAAATATTTATTTTTCTCAATAACTGTTGTTTTTACTTGAAGAACATGTAGTCCTTGACACTTCTGAATTAAATAATCGTGTTTAATTCATTTAATATATCAATGCTCACAGTTTCTTTTAATTAAAAAAAAAGTTATATCCTTAATGCATCTCTTAACTAGTTTATACCTTTCTGGTCCATTTTTTAACTTTGTTTTGCATAATTTTCATACATGTTGTGCCAGGTTTGATGACTAAACATGAGACACATCGTATGACTTCAAAAGAATACAGCACATGAGTCATATAAACAATATATGAAAAAGAGAAACATAAACACAGAAACAAAAAACAAGTACAGGCTTATGAGAAAATAATGAACTAGCTATTTTTTTAATCATTCACACTTCTCTTTGGATAGAAGCGTTTGCCAAATTAATAAATGTTCTCGGAAGTTCTCAGTTCTGTTTTATCCCTCACATAATAATCCTTGCACATGTGACATTTCGCTTTTCTGACATAAAGCAGAAGAGGCCATTCCGTCGTGAATGCATCAACACACTTTAAAGGGAAACAAAAGTGTTAGAGTTTAATACCAGCAAAATAGTCTTGCTATATGATAAATATATGTGCGTGCCTGTATAATTAAAAACACGGGAAAGATCAGAGTACAGGCGACTCCCCCGACTCTCTGTTTTGCCAGCTGTCATTTACATGATGCCAAAATGTTGTCAGATCAAACAGATTTGTTTTGGCCAAGCCTGTACGGATCCTTTGATCAATTATCCTAATTAGGAGGGCAGTTATCCAGGACAGAATTCCATATGCATGAATAAAAGTTTGTCCTCTGTGACAGAGCAACCTGAACTTTTCAAGAGAAAAGCAACACCTGAATGTCACATGGCTTGCAAGAATAGCTTATTGATTAGAATTATGTATGGACAAACTAATTAGATATGGAATATGCAGACACAATAAAACTAAAAAATATATTTATTGCAACTGAATATGTATTACTGTTATGTATATGTATTACTGAATATGTATAACTAAAACTACACTCTAAAAAATGCTGGGTTAAATACAACCCAGTGCTGGGTAAAATAGGGACAAACCCAGCAATTGGGTTGTTTTGACCCAGCGGTTGGGTTAAATGTTTGTATTGCTGGGTTGTATTTAACCCAGCATTTTTTAGAGTGTAAAACTTAAACGAATAAAACATTTTTGTTAACTGAAAATAAATAACATGATAATAAATAAATAACATAATAATAATAATAATAAAATGAAATCAAAAATAAATATAAATATAAAAAAGAATGCATAAATTCGTTTCAATATATTAAAACAACTGAATTCTAATCTAAATTAAAATGACAAAAATACTGCTAATTAAACTCTAAAACACTAAAATCAAAAATGCTAATCACTAAAATGCTAAAATAACATAAATCAAAATGTAAACTGAAATGTATTTTTAATATTATAATGTAATGACAATAATAAATTATAAAATAAAATAATTTATGTATACATTTTATTAATCAATTATTAAAATGACAAACAATACATCCATCAAAAATATATTTATGTAATATTATAATTTAATAGAAATAATAAATAGTACATTTAAATAATAATATATTTTAAGTATTTAAATGTATAAATTATTATTAATAAATTACATTTTAAACCATAATCTTAATTAACATGTTAAAAAAATACATAAATCAAGTATGGAAGTTAGAAGTTAGTTTTGCTGACATCAAGATCTAAACAGAAATGTATTATCTTATTTTTTATTTAATATTATAATGTAATTTAAATGTATAAATTATAAAGTCTAATCTAAATTAAAATCTGAAATAATACATAAATCAAGAAATTCATACAAATAAAATATGAATATTAGATGAAACATTTATTTCAGTTAGTTGACAGCAACATTTCTCATTTTCATTTAGTTTATAGGTTGAAGCACAAATTACTGGAAATAAAATAACTAAAAACTGAAATAAAAATAAATTCAACAATATTAATTTTTAATGATGTGCATTTGTCATTATTAGTTTATATATATATATAGGTTGAATTTATATAAACTAATAATGACAAACGCACATCAATAAAAATTTATATAAATAAAAATTTATATTAAAAACAATGGTAACACTTTACAATAAGGTTTAATAAACTCAACCTAAATATATATATATATATAAACTAATAATGACAAATGCAAATCATTAAAAATTGATATAAATAAAAAATTTATATAAAAAAATGGTCACACTTTACAGTAAGGTTCCATTAGTTAATGTATTAACTAACATGAACAAGCAATGAACAAAATATTTATTACAGTATTGATTAATCTTTGTTAATGTTAGTTAATGAAAATACAGTCGTTGTTAGTTCATGTTAGTTCACAGTGCATTAACTAATGTTAACAAGCACGATTTTTGATTTTAATAATGCATTAGTAAATGTTGAAATTAACATTAAGATTAATAAATGCTGTAGAAGTATTTCTTATTCTTAGTTCATGTTAACTAAAGTAGTTAACTAATGTTAACTAATGAACCTTATTGTAAAGTGTTACCAAAACAATATTAGTATATAAATACTAAAATAACACCAAATTGAATGTCAGCAATAAAATCAAAACTGACCCTGTTTATGTTCATGTTCCTTATTGTGAAAGATTTGTCAGCGCACATCATTTTATTCTCTTATTATAAAAATATGTCAAATGAGATTTTGACAATATAGTGCAAACAAACCTGGTCTGAAAACGGTCTGAAGTGCACATATTTTCATGCAAACTAAGTGATAAAACTGCTTTTTTAAAAAGGAAGGTAAGTGTAACGGGACTGACGAGACGTGAGACGTGCGGATCCATGTGCGAGCTTTATTAAAACAGAAGAGGTCAGAAACACAGGCAGGGTCGAACAATGGCAAACAGGTATAATGAGGGCAAGACAGAAGAGTAATCCAAAACGGGCGTGGTCGATAAGCGGCTAACAATATCCAGAGGGCTTGACACGAGGGGTTATCCAATAACAATGCAAAGGTCCAGGCAGGGGCAAACAGTATCCGAACAGGGCAAGACGAAAGAGGTAGTCCGAAGTACACAGGCAATAATCAGAAGACGAGAAAACAGACAAGGCAAGACTAGGCTAAGGCTATCGAAGGGAAACAGGCTTCATTTGTAGAAATATTAAACTGAACCACATGCTTTCATCAAAAACACTGCCTACTAAAGGCTCTGGCACGCTGCACGTGTCCATTAAAACCTCTGAAATGACAGATGAGGGAAGCTCAAATTGTGCGGACACTAATCTGAAATACATTGCATTGATCGGCTGGAGATTACAGCATTCCAGCAATGAGTTGCAATTAGTTACATCACATTTCTCAATCAATTAAACTTACCCTGAGGCCACACTTTTTGAGATCACCGGTGAGACTCTTGCATGAAATTAAATTAGCGCTCTCTCTCGTTAGGTGCTAACTTCTCCTTTTGTAGTTTTATCACAGACACCTGCTGTGGTCTTCAGATCTGTCTCTTGATCAGATGTACTACAAGGAATCACCTGGAATGGCAATGAGAAAAGACTACCCTTCATGGACTGGAGTTAATATGAACGTGTGACTAGCAAAAGATAAGAGTTAAAACAATGAAAGACAGGCATGATCCGCACAAAATGACACTGGATTGACTCCTAAAATGTGGCATAAAGGTTGCATGGATTTACCTTCAGGATGTGTGAAGGATAACTCTCTCAGCATATGTTTGAACCATTTACATTGGGAGCAAACCTTTTCCCTTTACACTGCACATTTAAGATTAATAGATCTCATTTATTGAACTGTTTAGCGTTTAGCAGAAGGCTTTAAACCAAAGCAGCATAAAAGATCAATTAAATTACGGTGTTGGATTTTGCAGCATTTGAACATGGGAAGAAATATTTATAATAGGGATGAGCAATGTAAATTATTTACATTTTGATCTGGGCATAAAGGGTAACTATAGCTTTGGATGAGAATGTAGGATTATTGATTAGAATTTGTGTATGGCATTAATAAAACAAAACAAAAATCTATAGAATCTATTGCAAAAAGTGTAGTAGTTTTGTGTGTTGTGACTTACCAGCCCACATTTCCTATATTTCAGAGGTTTTCCAATTGGTGTACGTCAAACTTCTAGAGAGAGAGAGAGAGAGAGAGAGAGAGAGAGAAAAA